GCATTGGCCTTGGGCGCTGCTTGCTATGAACAAGAATTCTGTGGCTTCTTTAAGAACTGCTGAGCAGACTAAAGGAATGAAAAATACCAGCGCATTTGCACACAGACACCTGGGCCCCAACACCGGTTAATTTAATTTCCAATCCCAAGGTGAGCAGGAGGTATGCTTTAAGTAGGGTTTCACTTCCCTACAAAACTGACCCTGTTCTGTTTTAGCACTCATTTCCTTAAATGCACTCGGTAGACGTTGTGCCTTGGGAGGAATGAAGACTGAGACAGCCTGCAGGCTGAGGGCCCAGGAGTGCCTGACACTGACACACAGTAGGCACATCGCAAATGTTGGCGCGGCTGCTGTGGGTTATGCTTGATGGGTCCCTATCAACGCTCGCCTTTGGAAGCCTACAGAGAAGCCCTGGCCACCTGCTTTCTGTCTTCGCCAGCTGGTGTCTCCTGGTGACGTGTCACGGAACAGCTCTCGTGCTCCCAGTCCAGCTCCCCGATCAGATCTCAGAACAGGCTGGAGTCGACAACTGATGTGAGTGAAATGTCCACGGGATGGGCCCTGCTGGGTTAAAGGTGGTTGCCATGGAAACTGATGTAGCAGATCCTGAGTTTAGCTTGCCAGCTGTCCTCACCATTTCCCCTGCTTGATAGTTTCTGTCCCTACATACTGCCTTACAGGTGCATGCGCTCTGGGAGGGACTCACTCCACTCTCGCCTCTTCATAGGTGATTAGTTCCAAGACACAGTGAGGGCCTTACAAAGGATGGGCACAGGAGATTTCTTGGTGCCCAATGCAAACTGAACAGCTAGGTCAACCTTTAACCTTGCTCTTTTCCATGGCCAATCTAAAGGACACCAGCTCATTTCTCTGCCTTAGTAAACAGAATATAACGGATGCAGCCATCTCGCCGTCTGAGGACCCATGACCTAAAAGAACTTCAGCTAGAAAACATCCATGTCCTGCAACTTCAAACCTGTACCTACTCAGGCCAGGAAGTCATGTCAACAGCCTGTTGGTTCTAGTCTGGTTTTCTTCGAATGTTCCATCTTTACAGAACTTTGATTTTTTTGACTTTGGTAAGCAATGTGCAGCTTGGGAACTATTTTGTAACTCTTGTAACTCTACCAATAGGAAAAGGGATGGTCACGCTCCACCGGCTTATTCCCATCTGATTTCATTGCTGTAATAGCAGTCGGCACTTAGCCAGCACCCCTGATGTATCAGCCACTGTGCTACTGAGTCACAATATCGTATTTAACAATCCCAACAGCTCTATAAAATAGTGGCTACTACGGAGCCTGGTTAAAGCTGGAGACCCTGAGATGCAGCCAGTGGAAGTAACTTACGCTGATTTGCCATGGCAGGTGGTATTGGTAGAAACATTCACCCCCACCCCCACCACCACTGTGCCCAAGGCCTAACCAAGGCTGATGACTAATAAACTAGTGCCTCTTTACTACCTAAGAAAGGAAGACTTTAGCTCCAGTCAGAGCTGAGCAGAAGATGTAGCGAAGATGTCAAATCAAAGACCAGCTTGGAGTAGCCACCTTGGGTGGACTCTGTCCTTAATACCCCTCCCACCGGCCTTGATACCTCTCCCACATCCCAAGGTTTCAGCGTCTTGTGAAGTGTTTGACATGGCCACTCCTGCCCCTGTGAGGAGCCTCCTAACTTGGCTCATCCTCCCTGGGATGGGAGAAGTAGGGGCCTGGGGAGCTGCAGATGGAGTGGCAGATGGGAAACGCAAACCTATCAGAGTTGCCTAGGATAAAACCATTCATCTGCAAAATTCATATGTTTCTGCGTGGGGCGACGTCACGAGAACAACAGCAAGAGGAGCCAGCAGTGCTGGATGCATCAAGCACCTCTGGCCATGAGGCTGGCACCGCAGAATGGGCAGAAGAACTGGGGGTGGAGGGATGGGCTCCATGGGCACAAGGTCCAGGAGAGGGAGAGGAAGAGACCCACAGAACAACAGACACACAGCATGGCCCCAGCTTTCTTCCCTGAACCCCCAAATAGACTGGGCACATGATCTCAGAAGGGATACCTGGGTCGCTTGGAGATGCAAGATACACCTTCAGATATAGTGAAGATGTAAGCAGGTGCCCCGTCATCACATCTGACTGTCACAGAGAGAGCATGGAATGTTCTTGCTGATGGCACCACTGCTCGTTAGAATCCTAAGCAGTCTGAGGAGAGTCCGCACAACCCCTTCCCTTCCCTCCCACTGACTGCTGAGTAGGACTGGCTCTTTAAGTTAATTGGATGTGGTTGCAGCATCCATTTGACAACCACAACACAGGGCCTCCAAGCAGTAGCAATGGGCATGCAGACCTGGAGTCAACAGGTCTCCCTGGTGGACAGCGGACAGCTGACATATGACCTGGGTAGACCCTGTCTCTGAAGCCTCCACTGGAAGGTGGGGACCATTTCCTTGTGTGCTTACTAGCCGGCTTGGGCTCAATGAAATAAAACAGGTGTCTTGGAGATGGCATTGTGACGCAACGGGTTGAGCTGATGATGCTTGCATATTAAATGGCTGGATCCAGTCCTGGCTCTTCTGCTTCTGATCTAGCTTCCTATTAACATGCCTGGAAAGCAGCAGATGATGGCCCTCACCCTTACATTTCTGCCATTCGTGTGGGAACACCGGGATGAAGTTCCAGGTGCATGCTTCTGGCCTGGAACTGTGTGGATCCCACTGGGAGACGGAACCAGTGGATAGAAGATTCCCCCCGCCTGTCTGTCTCTCTCTCTTTGTCCCCTTACCTCCCTCTATCTCTTGTTGCTATGTTTCAAATAATCAAAGAAATCTTTCAAAGCAAAAGCAGGTATGTTTCCAGCTTATGGTATCCTCCTCAGGTTCAAGGGGATCAAGTGCACCTTGTCCAAATGATCAGAGAATGTGCATCCTTCTCTGTCTTTGCGTGAACCAGTCTCCTACCAGATGATGGGATGCTCCCTAGCCCAGGACTGATGAGATCCAGTAAGCCATTCCCAGCCTTAAAGAGATGAGCTTTCCTTGTAGGCATACAGATCCTGACTGAAAGCCCAAACTCTTGGGAATACGTGACCTGGATATCTGCTGACACTGAGTGTCTGTTAGCATTCTAGATGATAGTCATGTTGATGCTCTGTTAAAAGAGACCTTACCTTGAGAGACGGATGCGGAAACACTTGAAGACACAACCAAATAGCAACTGACATCTGCTAAAAAGTGACACAGAGTATGAGGGAGAGTGAGAGGACTGGCTGTGCTGTTTGATCTGGAGACCATGTAGGACAATGCAGCCATGTGTTCCCTAGACTATTTGTAATACTGCTGAACTTGTTTGAAAATTGCACTATTAAAAGTTCATTTATTATTTTTTTTCTAAGACACCTGCATCTGGCTTGCTTGAGAATGCCAAACTCAATGTGTTCTTGGGAATAAGACCTTAATCCACTTCCCCAAACCCCTAATCCACTTTCCATCAACACAATTCACTCCTTCCAATCCACTTCTTATCACAACAATCTACTCCCCTTCCTCTAGCCACCCCAATCCACATTCCTCTTCATTCCTGGCAACAAATCAGGGTGGAGGAGACCCTCAAGGCAGTGGCCTGACATCCTGACAGATAAGAGGAGTACTGCTCATTTCTTGATCATAAGCAGGGTTTCACTTGAAGAGCAAATACTGATGCAAAGGACAGCTCTTCCTGGTAGCATGCCACTGGTGCTCGTGTTTCTCCCCACCCTGGGGTTACCAGCTGCACTGTCAGCCCCTCACATCTGGGCCCAGAGGCCATACACCTTCAAAAGCAGCCCAGGTTTGTTGCTCTCGTGTGAGATATCCTAATTTTAAAATGTGTGCAAACAGGGCCCATCACGGTAGCCTAGCAGCTAAAGTCCTCGCCTTGTATGTGCTGGGATCACATTGGGGCACTGGTTTTAACCCCGGTGGCCCCACTTCCCATCCAGCTCCCTGCTTGTGGTCTGGGAAAGCAGTCAAGGACGGCCCAAAGCCGTGGGACCCTGCACCTGCATAGGAGATCCACAGGAGGTTCCTGGCTCCTGGCTTTGGACTGGCTCAGCTCCAGTCATTGAGGCTACTTGGGGAGTGAGTCATTGGACGGAAGATCTTCCTCTCTGTCTCTGTATATCTGACTTTGCATTAAAAAATAAAATCTTTTTTAAAAATGTGTGCAAACAAATCACTTGACATGGGCCATCCTAACACATCCATCAGCTTCTCGCCACCTTAAGACACCTGCTGGTGACACCACCAGGCTACCACAGCTGTCCTCCCCGTGTCCACTCCCCTCCTCTTCCCTTTGATATCAGAGTCAGACCTTGTCCACCTTCTTTCTGAAACAAGGCATGCACTTCCATCTTGCTTGCAGTGACAGCCAGATTCTAGACTCTCCAAGCTCTTATTCCCAATTTGCCCTCTAACCTTCAAGTGTCTTGTTACTCTGCTCCTCACTTGTCCTGTTCCAGCCGGACTGAACCCCGCTGTCCCTTGCACACACGTGCATGTTTCCACCGCAGGGCTCAGCAGTCACCACTCCCTTTTCCTGGACCATGTTCTGTGTGGTTCACCATTTCATCTTCTGTTGTTATGCACATGATGGTTCTCATCAGCCCTGGTAACTCACAGCTCTCCCCCCAGGTTCCCCACTCACCACCCTTCTGCTCTGTTTTTTTTTTCCTAACATAATTGTGTTACTTATTTTGTTTATTGCTATCTCCCTGCTTGAACAGTGTCATTAGTGCATGGGGACTTCTTTCCTACAAAGAAGGCAACCCTCAAGTGATCAGTTGTCTGCTGAGTGTGAGCACAGGCAAGCTACAGGTGTGAGCTGAGTCCCACACCGTGAGCTCTCACAGAGGCACAAAGCTTCTTGAAACAGGGGCAGACCACTTCGTCTGCCCGAGAGCATCCCAGGGAGCAGGTGCAGGTGTGAGGGCAAACAGATCCTCAGACTAAGGCTGGCCACCGGCTGGCTTACCTGATGGGGTAGTCGGCTGCGCTCAGGTTGATGAAGAAGTCCCAGGGCCAGTCGGGCATCTCCAGGAGGTCCCGCATGCTCTGCAGGTAGGTGGACAGGAGGCTGGCTCCCCCCCAGATGGTGGCCATCCTCCAGGGGGTGACGCGCACGTTGCTGTACTGCCTGGCCATCTGCAGCACTTGCCGATGCAGGTAATTGGAACGCTTTTCCCAGGAGAGAAAGGGTGACACTCAGTGACCTAGGAGACACCAGGCATGTCCCTTGTCCCCAGCCCTTCCTTCCCTTCCAGCTGAAAGGGCCTGTGGACATGGTGGACTTTGTCGGTTCTGGAGTCCTCCCTGCTGCCCAAGGGTGTCTTAGATTGTGTGAACATTTAGCATTTTTAACATTTTACATTAGATTTTTTAAATGTATTTGAAAAGGGGTAGAGAAAGGGAGAGATCTTCTATCTGCTGGTTCACTCCCGAGATGGTTGCAAATCTCAGGCTGGTGCAGACCAAAGCCGGGAGCCCACAGCTCTATCCGGGTCTCCTACATGAGTGGAAGGAGCCTAAACACTTGTGCCATCATCCTCTGATGCTTTCTCAGGAGCATGAGCAGGGAGCTGGATTCAAAGTGGAGCATCTGGGACATGAACCAGTGCTCCAACAGGCGTCACCATGTTGCAGGCAGCCACGTAGCACACTGCACCATGACGTCAGCTCCTACATTCGATATTTTAATGCAGGTTCCCTGGCCTTGCCTCTGAGCTAATGGCTTACACGGATAGGGCTGGTGGTGCCTGGGACTCCAAAGTTTTACATATAACTGCTGGATGTGGTGCTGCTGTGGTGTCACAGCGTTTGACCTAACCCCTGGGGAAATTCCTTCTGCTGTAATGTTCTCGCAATGTTCCAAGCAGAAGCAAGCCAGTTGAGATTTCTCTGGGTCTCCCAGGCTGGGGGAGGGGCCCAAGTACTTGAGTCATCCTCTGCTGCTTGCTCAGGCACATTGGAAGGGAGCTGGTTTGGAAGTGGAGCAGCCAGGACCCAAACTGGCACTCAGCTGAGATGTCAGCACTGCAATCAGTGGCTTTACCCACTCTACACCGTAGCGCCCGTCCCTGCAGTATCATGTCTGTTTAATTAAAGTCTATTGTCAACTAAACTAAGAATATCTTCAATGCTTTGATAGCATATGAGCGGCACACAACAACCCAGTCTTTGCAAGGGACAGGGTGTTTTAAGTTCACTAAACACCAATAGCAACACTGAATCCTGCAGAAATGCACTTTGCTCAGGAATGCTTGAGTTACTGTAATATTTGATTATCCATTTGGTTGTTACAGAAAGCTTCATAACTGTAATTGATGGTTGTTGTGGAGCACTTTATTGCCTATTTTTTCTACCTCTAGTTGCGCCTGGGCAGATACACAAGTCTTTTTAAAAAGAAGGATGGTTTGGGGCTGGTGCCATGGTATAGCATGCTAGGCCTCTATTTGCAGCACTGGCATCCCATACAGGTGCTAGTTCAAGTCTTGGACTGCTCCACTGCCAATTCTGCTCCTCCTTTGTGTCCTGGGAAAGCAGTGAAGGATGGCCTAGGTTCTTGGGCTCCTGCAGCCATGGGGGAGGCTGGGTAAAAGCTCCTGGCTCTTGGTTTTGGACCAGCTCAGCTCTGGCTGCTATGGCCGATTGGAGAGTGAACCATCAGATGCAAGATTCTCTCTGTGTGTGTCTCCCTTTCTCTCTAGGACTCTGCCTTTGAAATGAAAAGAAAATAAATCCTTTAAGAATAAATCTTTTTTCTTAAAAAAAAAGAATAAATCTTTTTTCTTAAAAAAAGAAACATATTTCACTTCTACAAATCTGAGCCTTTGAAGTGTTTTTTTGTTTGTTTTGTTTTGTTTTGTGGTCTGAAATAAATGGTGAAAATTTGAATTGGTCCCTCTACTACAGTACTGACACTAAGTCTACCCAATTTATTGAGTCATATTCATGCCCTGATCCTGCATACTTATGCCTATCAATAAGCACTGTGACTTGATTCTCTCTTTCAACCTCATGAGTTTCCGGGTAGGTGGAATATCTTCACTGTAATTCCCAAGAGGCCTTTAACAAGCAGACCTTATGGATGAAACACCCCCTTTGCTTTCCTGACTAAAGACATAACAATGCCGTGTCAACTGATGAAGAGGAATTTCTGGAGCAGGACAGCTCTGGGTCAGTGAGTCTGTTGCAAGTTTCTGTTAATAAAGTTTATTGGCACACAGCCTCTCCCATCTGTTGGCATAGACTCAGTGGGCACTTCTGTACTCCAGGAAGTGCACAGCCTGCAAAGACTATACTATGTTTTTCTGGACTTTTCTAGAAAAAGTGTGTCCAGTCCTGCAATGGCTGTCTCTGCCTACAAAGTATGCAGGGGCAAGCAGGGATCACTGGGCACTGAAGAAAAAGTAGGAGGGAAAATGATCCAGTTGGGAGAGGAGGCACATACCCTGGTACTGTGTGGTGCAGGAGGCTGAGCAAAGCTCCTGGTAATGCAGCCTGCATTTCAGAGAACCACACAGTAGGATTCTGGAGGCATCTGGCCCAAAGCAAGGATATACTTCCTGTGGCTGGAGATGCTTGTTACCGGACTGATCAGTGCACAATGGACAAAGACAAGGACAAGGGGACTTCAGGAAGTTTATGGGAAAATGGAATTAAAAGTTAAGTTCATTTAAATACCAAAAGAACTCTGGGAAGGGCCATCAGTGTAGCAGCAAATCTGCCTCTCAGGACACCTGCACTACATACTGGAGTGCCTGGTGCAAGTCCCAGCTGTCCTGCTGTTTATTTTTTATTTGAAATGCAGAGTTACAGAGAGAAGGGAAGAGAGAGAGAGAGAGAGAGAGAGAGAGAGAGAGAGAGAGACCTTCCATCCATTGGTTCACTGCCCAAATGGCCACACAAAGCCAGGAGCCAGGAGCTTCTTCTAGGTCTCCCACATGGATACAGGAGCTCAAAGACTTGAGCCACCCTCTCCTGCTCCCCCAGGCCATAAGCAGGGAACTAGATTGGAAATGGAGCAACTAGGATGCTAACTGATGCCCATATGGGATGCCAGCACCACAGATAGTAGCTTATCCCACTACATCCCAGCGTCAGCCCCAGTTGCTCTGCTTATGATCCAGCTCCCTGTGAGGCAATGGTGATGGTTCAAGCACTTGGGTCGCTATCATTCATGTGGAGATTCAGGCTGAGTTCCCGGCTTGCTGGCTTTGGCCTAGCCCAGCCCCAGCTCTGGTGGACATTCAGGGAGTGAACCAGTGGATGGAAGATGATCTCTGTTTCTTTCTGTCTTTTTCTCTGCCTTTCAAACAAAATAAAAATAACCAAAAATGTTTAAAAATAAAATGAGTCAGAATCCAGGCGTGGGTTTTGTCTGCGTTACCACGAATGAGTGAACGTTCTCCCTGAACTTGGTTGCAGACCCTCTGCACGCATGTTTCAAAATATCATGTTGTACTCCAAAAATAACAGCAAACGAGTCAACCAAGTATTTTTTTTTTTAAAAAAACAGAAACATTGATAGAGAAAACAGAAAAGCCAAAAACTTTGAAATCAGCACAAGAGAAAGACACATCAACACACAGGAAAACACAGAGACACACTCAGATACAGACACAGATACACACAGGCAGACTCACAGATACACAAATACACAGAGACAGACAGACACACAGATACAGGCATACACAGGCATACACAGAGACACACCTGCAGACATAGATACAGAATGACAAATACAGAGATAAAAAAACACACACACACACGCATACACAACAGAGCACATCAGGACCCAATGCCGGTCTCCTTCCAAGTCTCTCTGCAAGGGGCAACCCAGTCTTGTGTTTGTGGGGAGGGTCCCCAGGGGACACACACAATGCAGAGGAAGCCCTGTGTGGGGTGATGGCACGGCCCTCACCTTGTCCACATGGATGTAGTAGAAGTGGTCCTTGTGGTAGATAGCCTTGAACATGCGCTGCAGCTGCCGGGAGGCACGGCCGTGCACCACGAGGACGAAGGCGATCCTCACGGGGTTGGCTGGCATGTACTCCACCGAGTCCTCGTCCCACTGCACATTCTTGTTGGCTTTGCCTGGGAAAACCCAAGAGGTCAGAGTGAGGCATGAGTGTCCTGTCCAGGATGCTTCTCCCTCTAGGGAAAGTACCAGGAGCCTGACAGTTGTGTTGGGCTGAAAAACTCGATTTCAGACCAGCCAGACCTAGACCCCTCATCCTGGGCAAGCACAAAAAGAATAGAGGGGCTCCTGGGGGGCTATTGCTTCCATCCTCAAGGAGCTCAAGGCAGCTGGTAGAGTCAAGTGGACGCACTAAATCACATGAGGTAGCAGGTGCCGAGATCCTAGTCTAGGAGATGCATCTGTTAACTGCAGAGGAAGTAGTGAGGGCTGAATTAGGAAAGACAAGGTGCACCTGTTGCTTTCCCTCTCCAGCTTCCATTTTCCCTCTTCTCCCAGCAGTATCCAACATATCTGTAGATTTTCTTCCTTAAGTTATAGTAAGCACTGAGATCTTTCCTTAACAGCACAGCTTTCTGCACATTACAGCACTGTCAGCTCGTGGGGAGGGGTCCTTCTAAAACCTCACGGATAAACAGAAACAAGAGTCCACTTTTGTGCCAACACTTTTCAAACCATGCACTGGTTTTTCATAATACACATTCTCCCAACAACTTTCTGAAGACAGCTCAAATGTGTGCGTCTCAAGACCCTACCCAATAAGAATCCATCGTTTCTTTAATGCCATATCCCATGACCATTTTGAAGGAGATCCATCCAACCACACAGTCGCTCAGCCGATCTGCCAGACCTCATGCACTTTGCATAAATGAAAAAAACCTCATTATCCGAGATTTTCGGAGTCATCATTGGCCTCTTCTGTGCACAGAGAGGATCTAAGTCCATCCCTGCAGCCAGGGGTGGTCCCCAGAGTGCAGGCCTGGCCAATCAGCACACCACACCACCCTGACCACACACCCCTGTCTGGGGATGGACATGTGGCCCAACCAGGCTCAGCAGCCAATTGGCCAGAGGTGCACGCTTGGGTTGGAACTGCCACGCAACAGTGGCTCTTTCTCTTGGACACAAGACAGGAGGTCCTGGGAGTCCTTTTCTTCCCACAGGGAGCGAGGCCTTCTGAGAACAAAAGCCAAGCCGAGAGAAGCACCGCTGGGCGGTGGCGAGTGTCCAACTGCTAATGACCTGGCTCCAGCTCTTGGAACAGTCACCATCACAGACTATTTTTCTTTGAAAGCCAGATATGACACCAGATCCGCCCAGATAAATGGTTCCAGACATCGTTTATCCTGAAATCATCCTCCACCATCCCTTCTCTCTTCCTTTCCCTTGCAAACCACTCAGCCAAGGCTGCAGGCTAAAACAAAACTTCCTGGTTTAGCTCCGGACAGTTTCCTCTAGAAACCTTGCAGCTTTGCTCAGCTTGCCTCTCTAGGGGTTCACTTGATTCCTGGTGGGTGTGACGAATGTGAACCCAGTAGCAGATGAGTGAAAGCAGTAGTCAGCCACAAAGGCTGAGGACAGAATCTGGGGTATCAGGGCAGCAGGAAGTGTCTGTGGCCACAGGGAAGCATCAAATGGCCTCCATATCCACAAGAACACGGCGCGTCCTGTGTGGCTCCAGAGGGAGGGGATTCAGGTGGACGATGTCCACGTCCCACAGTGCCTGCATGTCGGGCTCAGACCTCACTGTCCTGACTGGTGCCACATTCCACCTGCCCTGAGTCATCCCTGCTCAGCTCCAGGGTCTTTCCACTGGCTACTCCTGTTTTCTGTCTTTAGTTCAGAGCCCAAAGCAAAGGTTCCAGTCCCAGCCTCACATTTTCCACCTCACCCTATTTCCATTCTGTGAATAGTCCTCAACACCATCTGAAATCGTTGATCTGTCTGCTTGTTTATCGTCTGAACACTCAGTGAGCACATCAGCTGCGGGAGATGAGTGCTTTTTTCAGCTTCGTTTGCCATGGAACACTCTACACTAATATTTAGTAAACATCTGGCTCTTGGTGAAAAGCAAAACTATGGGGAGGGTGCCTTTTTTCTTTTTTTTGGTGCAATAACAACACCTTTCGGTGAGCATTGGCCAGCCCTTGACATTCATACTTTCATTTAATCTTCATCACTGCCAGTTACTGCTATTACTACATCTGCCACGTAAGGAAGTCACAATTTAGAGGTCAAGGGATTTTTTTCAAGGTCACCCTGCTTGGATTAGTTACGCTGGGATGTTCACAGGTCTGACATTATCCTTATCCACTAACATACAAGACATTATCATACTTGAATTTTGAAAGGAAAAGTTCCTAGCAAATATGCTTGTATTAGTTATCACAACCAAGTAAGTGTACATTGGGGGACTGTGTAGGTGTGTAGGAGGATTTCAATATCAGATGAGAAGGCTGACATTAGGTGATCAATAAGACATCTTTCCTTCCATCCTTCTGTCCATCTATTAATCTTCCCTTCCTCCCTTCCTTTCCTTCCTTCCCTCACTCTACCCATCCACCTGTTCAAATCCAACCACCCATCCGTCCACACACACAGCAAGCTATCCAATAACCCATCATCCAAAAGGGCATCCACCTGCCTCTCTTCTCAAACACCATCCATTCAGTCAAGGCTCATGGGGTCTTTGGGATCATCCTGTGTTTGACCTTCAGTGAAGAATGTTCCTGGCTACAGGTGCGGAAGGAGTGAGCAGATGTGTGAGTGCATTCTCAGAATGAGTGGGACCCCAGTCCGGAGGCGCTGATGTTCCCTGGGGACCAGGTCATGTGTCAGCATTGGGGGTCATGCCTCTGTCGTCCTTTCGCTCTGGGGAGAATGAAAGCTTACTTTTGAGACTCAGAGAAGGCCACCCATTTTCCAGCAAGACCCAGGCAGGAGTGGAAGCCGAGTGTTGTTGAGTCCAAAGCCAGACTTGCTATTCTACTCGCCCAGTGTTAAAACATCATGGGAAGATAAGGACAGCGTTGTGGAAGGATTCTATGCTGGCTGTACAGGGTCTTGGACATCGATTCTGAGAAACATTTTTTATTACTTCTCTGTGGGGTTCTAGAAAGCACAGTAAATTCCTCTGGATGCTTTTCTTCTGCAAAAGGGGAGAGCAAACTGGAAACTAAAGACTAGCATCTGGGACTTGATCAAAAGGAGTCTTCTAAAGGTTCAAGGCCATGCATTTTTGGAAAAAAAAAAAAGCGCATGGATTTCATACTGTGTGGACCTAACTTTAATTCTAGTTTTTTCCATGTGCTTTCTAAAGTATCTTCCTACAACTGAATCCATGCTTGGATCAAACAATTGGACTGAGGACTTTAAAAAAAGGGGGGTGGGGGAGTAAAATTTCCAGAGGAATAAAGATCGACCATTTCTGGAGCGCCAGCTGGATGCTAAGCACGTTTCGTGCATGGTTTTATTTACTTTTGCCAACAGCCTTGTAAGAAGGCAACTGCTATCTTATCACCTGGATAGGGAAGCTGTGACTCAGAAAGGTCCTCGTAGAGTGAGAACGTGATCCCAGGGTCCCATCATCGTCACTACCGTTGAATTACATTGTCCCCATTTCATAAGAGAAAAATCTGTTCCCAGGAGAGCTGAGCCTGCAGACTTCCAGCTGTGTGACAGATAACCAAGCTGAGTGGTCAGAGCGTTGTCGTGGCTCTAAGCACAGAAATCCAGATACAGCCCAGCTCCTCCAAAACCCCTTTGAACTTAACATTGTAATCAGATTCCTGTGGCACAAAAACAGAAAATAAGTGGAAAAATCAGAGTGATTACAAGCAGCAGGAGAAGCTGACAGGGGACGAATGTTAAACAGCTGGGTCGACGGGGGGAGAATATCAAGTACATTTTCACAGTGCAGGTGAGAAGGCTGAAGGCAGGAGTCGCACGGGGCATCCCCGCCTCCACCCTCCACACAGGAAGTATCTGAGCCACGTGACGCCTGCCACTCAAGCACTCTGTCTCCCGATCACCGTGGGTCAAGTGAGGACTGGGTCACTGCTGGACGCCACCGAGATGGCGAAGCTGAACATCAGTCCCCCTGTCGTCTGCAGTCTCTCCTTCCACGGTTTCAGTTACTCATGAACCTCGGTCCAAAAATATTAAATGGAAAATTGCAGACATAAACAGTTCATAAAAAAACTTCTAAATAACTTTTATTATTATAAGCATATTATGATAATCATGCTCCTTCACTATTTTTATTATGTGTCTAATTTATAAATGAAATGTTACCCTAGGTATGAGTGCTTAGGAAAAACAGTACAGTTAGTCATCTATGCCCATGGATCCTCCATCTGTAGATTCAGTCAACAGAAGACTGGAAAAATATGGGAAAAAAAGAAAAAAGGTAAGTGCTGGGGGGGCAGGCGGGGTTGCGGAGCTGGTGTGATGGCTCAACTGGCTAAGCCTCTGCAAGCGCTAGCATCCCATATGGATGCCCATTTGTGTCCTGGCTGTTCCACTTGCCATCCAGCTTCCCACCTGTGGTCTGAGAAAACAGTGGACGACTGCCCAAAGCCTTAAAACCCTGAACCCACGTGGGAGAACTAGAAGATGCTCCTGGCACCTAGCTCTGGATTGGTTCAGCTCTGGCCTTTACAGCCATTTGGGGAGTGAACCATTCAATGGAAGATCTTTCTATTTCTCCTTCTCTCTGTAAATCTGCCTTTCCAATAAAAGTAAATAAATCTTTTTTTTTTAAGTCCCCTGCAGTTCCTGAGGACTTTCCCCACCTGCTGTTCTTCCATACATAATGCAGTGTGAAAACTGTTTATGGAACATTGTCATGGTATTAGCTATTACAAGTAATGTATACAGGAAGCTGTGCATAGATTAAATGCAAACATACTGTTTCCTATAAAGGACTTACAAGTTCTCAGAGTTTGGAACCTTAGGGGTGTTTCCCCATGGACACCAACAGGCATCTGAACATACAGAACTTGGTACTGTCCATGATTTTAGGGATCCCCCTGGGGTTGCTGGAAATTGCCCGTGGTGAGTGAGGGGATGCTGCTATAAAACAGTTGTGATGCCAATGACCATCATGGTTGGGTGC